CCCCTTCACAGAAGGTAATATTTAAAATATCACTTTCATAAAGACCCATATGCCCACAAGATGGCGCTGTCTATTGATAACATTACGTTACGCCACCTTGTTTTACAACCTATATAATTTTGTCGCAAACGCAAGGGTTGCACGTGCAGTTCGAAGGTGATCCTCAGAAAATGAGTAACGTTTACTGCACTTGAAATGATCAGCGCGCGCTTCACTTTGAGTAAAACTAATTAGTAGACACTGGAATCTACTCTGTACGTACTCTCGACCGCTTTAATCTTTACCGCTTGGACAATTCTGTAAGTTCAAAACGATGCAATTGCTTTTGTATTTTGTTGTTGTTGTTTTTCTGTTATGCAGTTTTATTGCAAAATCTATAACGGAATTTTGTGATAATAGCTTTGCCCTGTGATATAAAAGCTGGCTACATTTTCTTAGACTAACCCGCTCAAACCAGTTGTTCAGCTGTTGTATTTCAGTAGCATTATAACTCCTGAGCTTTTGATGTCACACATGCAACATCCCTTAGCGATAATAACTGAAAACTGGTTGCACACCAAAGTACAATCTTTAAAATCCTGATGACACATTGGAATATATGGTGTGAATGAAATCATTAATGTAAAACAGTTTTTTTAAAAAAAAGATAACTGACGATCATTACGCGAATAATAAAAAACACCAATACATCGAGTTTGGTGTACTTTGGTGACCTTGTATACTTGATAAACACTCACAAATTGTTACCTTAACGATATTTATTGGCAGTTGTTTTGTGTTTCAGTTTCTTCAGAACATGGATCAATCAGTAAAAGCAATTAATGCACACAGAAAAATGGTATTTTCCCGACTGGTGAACCGTAGAAGATTTGACAACGAAGAGTTAGAGTCCTTGTACCAGCGATACACCTTCAAGATCCAACAGTCCTCAATATTTAGTGTCCTGGCTCTGTTTATTTTCTTGACTGGAGTCTTAACCATTCTACACTTCGTCTATGTTAAAACTGCCACCGCTGCCAATCTGTATTTTCTGTTGCACTGTCTGTGTTTTGTCACACTTCTGACCTTCACCTGCACGAGATGGATTAAAGATTCATATCTTCTCGCTTTAAGCTACGTTATTTTATGTTTTTTCGTGACCTTCTGTATGGTCTCTCTACCTCTGGACCTTGGCACACGAGACACGTGGGGTAGAGGCTCTTGGGGTGCACGACATAGTGCGGCTGATGGGGTATGGGAGATACTTTATTGTTTATTCGTGTCTTATACTATGTTGCCTCTGAAAACAAGAATGTCAATGACTCTCGGGATCTTTCTACCAGTTATCCACACAGGCGTAGCGTCAAAGATGTCTCAAGAATTTCCCAGATTATTGATGCATCAGGTAAGCAAGTTCAAATATTTTGTCCATGGGTTAGAAAATATAATAAAGTACTATCAAACCGGATTTTGTTGTCGTGAATTTAGTGAATCGACATTTCTAACGCTTCTTCATTGTGTCACAGTTTTTATAGAGAGGTCGATATTTTTTGACAAAGCGACTGATCATGTGATTGAAGATTTAACTTACGAAGATACTTTAACACAAAGTGTGGTCTGAAACCATCCTTTATTTGCTAATATTCTAGATTGGTATATTTTCTCTCCATATCCCAATGACATTGTTCGATTGCATGTTGTGTAATTACCCTTACTTGACAAACACTGCATAGTATGCAAGATCTCTGTTGTAAACCCAGTTGGATTTTTTTCTCCGTATATGTATCTTAATTTTATTTGCAAAACTTTTAAAGACTACTACTTATACATCCTATGTGTCTGTATTTATTTTCAACTTTTAAGTAATAGATTTTGAAACGTGCGAACGACAGTTGGTTTTATCCTCTCCTCGATCCACAGGTAGGTGATATATGTATGACTGGGCACCTACCAAGAATAAATACGTATTTAAAATATAAAAAGGTTGATTATTACTAGCTTTTATCTAGATATATTTTGTATTTATGCTTTAAAATTCTTACTGTGTGATATTTGATTCATAATTTTAAAATATGTTTATGCGAAAGTAACAGGGAGTTATTTAAAAATCAACATAAAATACCGAGAGACATTTGAAGCGTGAAAACCACATAAAAATGCCACACGTCTTATTGTTTGTTTTCGGAAAATCACGCAAAACCACTTAAGGGCTATCTGTGTTAACCATGTCCAATTTTGAACTGATAGACTAGAAGGAAGGCAGGTAGTCAACAATATCCACCGTCAACTCTTGGCTATTCTAATCGAACAGAAGGATTTGACTGTCATTGTTATCGAACCCATGTGCCCAAAGTCATTATGAACGATTTGTTGTTTTCAACGGCTGAATGGGAAATCAGGAGCTCCATAACTTTTTAGCTTGAAGCTTCCAAGCTGAAAACTTCCCACCTAATTGTTTAATGAAATTTTAAAGAATTTTTTAATTTGTTATTCGAAAAAACAAACAAGAAAAAACAAACTCGATCATAAAAAACGTTCTATAGTCACAATAAATAAAATTTGCATTGAGAATAAGGCTTTATCCAGTATCAGAGAATCGTTAAAGAGAATATTTCTACACATACTAAGTGAAGCTCCTCCTGAGTTTATCAGATGGACCCCCGTCTGGGAACCACTTCTCTAAATAATGTTTGTTTGTAGTAAAGCACAAAGCTACACAATGAGCTATATGTGCTGTGACCACCACTGGTATAGAAAGTCGGTTATTAATGCTATAAGTCCACAGACTTGCCGCTGTGCCACAGGGGGGCCTGCAAATAATGTAAAAATGAATTTGATTTAAGTCTATTGTTGGTTAACGTTCTAATCGTAAAATTAAATCAAGATAGGAGTACTTTGAGTTCACTGTTTGATACAGTTGAACTATACTTCTAATTGTTAGATTCCGAAGATCTTAATAAAATATAAAAGGTTAATTTTTCAAAGTTTGTTTTGAATTTCGCGCAAAACTATACGAGGACTATCCGCGCTAGCTGTCACTAATTTATTAGTGAAAGACTAGAAGGAAGGGAGCTAGTCATCACCACCTACCACTAACTCTTAGGATACTATTTTACCAACGAACAGTAGGATTGACCATCACATTATAACGCCCCAACGGCTGAGAGGGCGATCATGTTTGGTAGGACGGCGATTCGAAATCGCGACCCGCAGATTGCGCGTCTAGCACTCTAACCACTAGTCCATGCCAAGCTATTTTTTAATAATATAAAGAATATCAATCAGCAACTCATCAGTTGAATTTGATTTATTTTATTGTATTCCCGCAGGCCTATTTTATATTATCCTACACTACAGCACAGGGCTGAAAGTTATTAAAGTCAAATCCGTCAGGAAAACTGGATATAACATGCTGGAAGAGTAATATTATATCAAAAGGTATGCATGCGACTTTAAAGTTTACACTTCTTTCGCATTACCGCTGACGTATGAGTATTTCTGTTCGTGGAACCTTGTGTACGAATTTTGATTAAATCTACTGAAGCAGTTAAAGTGTAAATGAAAGAAATGTGTATTCTGAAGATAAATCTAGTGAGGTAGTTAAGATGTAAATAAAAGAACTGTGTATTCTGAAGATAAATCTGGTGAGGTAGTTAACATGTAAATGAAAGAACTGTGTATTCAGAAGATAAATCTGGTGAAGTAGTTAAGATATAAATAAAAGAACTGTGTATTCTGAAGATAAATCTGGTGAGGTAGTTAACATGTAAATGAAAGAACTGTGTATTCAGAAGATAAATCTGGTGGGGTAGTTAAGATGTAAATAAAAGAACTGTGTATTCTGAAGATAAATCTGGTGAGGTAGTTAACATGTAAATGAAAGAACTGTGTATTCAGAAGATAAATCTGGTGGGGTAGTTAAGATGTAAATAAAAGAACTGTGTATTCTGATGATAAATCTGGTGAGGTAGTTAACATGTAAATGAAAGAACTGTGTATTCAGAAGATAAATTTGGTGAGGCAGTTAAGATGTAAATAAAAGAACTGTGTATTCTGAAGATAAACCTGGTGAGGTAGTTAAGATGTAAATGAAAGAACTGTGCATTCAGAAGATAAATCTGGTGAGGTAGTTAAGATATAAATAAAAGAAATGTGTATTCTGAAGATAAATCTAGTGGGGTAGTTAAGATGTAAATGAAAGAACTGTGTATTCAGAAGATAAATTTGGTGAAGTAGTTAAGATATAAATAAAAGAAATGTGTATTCTGAAGATAAATCTAGTGAGGTAGTTAAGATGTAAATAAGAGAACTGTGTATTCTGAATATAAATCTGGTGAGGTAGTTAAGATGTAAATGAAAGAACTGTGTATTCAGAAGATAAATCTAGTGAGGCAGTTAAGATGTAAATGAAAGAACTGTGCATTCAGAAGATAAATCTGGTGAGGTAGTTAAGGTGTAAATAAAAAAGCTGTGTATTCTGGGGATAAATCTCACGAAGTAGTTAAAGAACTGTGTATTCTGAAGATTGAGTTTTTCATCTGAACGAAGCAATGTACCAAAATGCAGCTGAACGTATGCGTATAAAACGAGGGAGAATTTTCTATAGAAACGTGTCGTGTTACCACTTGACACAAAGTCGTCTTCATTAAGAAACAGTAATTATAACGGAATACACTAATTAAATAAATTCAAATAACTTTAATATGAATTTTCACGTTTTCAAAACACCAAATAATTTCACAAAATAGCTATAGCTGCTCGAAAGGGTACATTTTTATATCTCCAAATATAAGTATTGTGTGATATGTCACAATTTAGAAGAAAACCAGTATTTATTAAACGAATTTAGCTTACAAAGGAGTAATTTTAGGTTAGTTGTATCATTTAATCTATGTTCTAATGTAACATGGTTAAAGCAGTGGCTAGTTTTTTTCTTACTTTATTGATGTCCCGGCATGGCCAGGTGGTTAGGGCGCTCGACTCGCAATCCACGAGTTGCGGGTTCGAATCTCCGTCCCACCAAACATGCTCGCCATTTCAGCCGTTGGGGCGTTGTAATGTGACGGTCAATCCCACTATTCGTTGGTAAAAGAGTAGCCCAAGAGATGGCGGTGGGTGGTGATGACTAGCTGCCTTCCCTCTAGTCTAAAACTGCTAAATTAGGGATGGCTAGCGCAGATAGCCCTCGTGTAGCTTTGCGCGAAATTTCAAACAAATCTTTATTGATATCTATACACGTTCTTCATGAAATAAGTGATACTTTCAAACATTATTCGGTTTAATGTAAACGTAACAAAAAAGCGTTGAAAGACGTTTGTTCATTTTTGTAACAATTGCTAATTCTCTAGAGAATTCTGGAAACCTCATTTTCGTGTGCGCGTCGTTTGATGTACAATGATGAAGAGTTAAGGCTTGACTTGTGGCTTGTTACATGGGAGTAGGCTACAGAAACGATAGTGTTTACCAGGACCCTAGGTATCGATCACGTTAAAAGCACATATTTTTATCCTGTGCGACATCACTGATTTTCGTCGTACGCTTTTTTATGTTTGAATATCGAAAATGCTCTGAAATAATGTATTTAAACGAGTGGAAAAAAAAGTAATTTTCTCTAGTAACACCCACTTACATACCAATACACACTACTGTGATGTCCACACCCTGTTTTAGATAATATTTAAATTCCACAACAATAGTCTTGTTTTATGATACCGAATAATAAAAAAGAAAGTTATATTAGCATTTAGTATTTCTTGTTTTGCATAACATTTTATATATCATCTTATCCATCGCTTCCATTAAGAACTGGATAACGTAGGAATATATTTGTTGCTATATTTGAAGTAGTTTACAGTTATGATAGTCACTTATACATTATAAAGCAAGTTAGTTATACAAAAGCAGTATGCCACTATAGCTTATTTGAAATATATACTATATACTACATCAGTTTTTTTTTTTGATTTCAACGTAATATTTACGTTCTGCATTATGTTCATCAGAAAATAATTATTTATACACACGTGCTTGCATAATAAAACATGTCCATTAAATATTACAGCCAACGTTTTCTTTACGAAGTAATTACTCTCTTTTTAGTAAAAACTGTAATACTTAAATGCTTTATATTTTATTTGGAAACATAAGATATTTCATTTTGCTCCACAAATATCGTAAATATATCCGTAGCTAATGAGTTATTTAATAAAATGTTCTAACCTTTCACTATAATGACTGACTTTCTCAGCAGTGCCAGTGTCCGAAATATATATCTGTTGAACATTTTCATTCTGGCTCATTACTGCCTGCTTATGCTTTTAAAAAACGTCATGATGTAACTCAAACAAGAATAGAAGAAGAAAACCGTTAAAGGAATGCCATTACCAAACTTGATTGTGTTCACGC